TCAGTTTAACATAAATGTCTTGCCTAAAGAACATGGTGTAATAATAACAGTAATAGCAATGGTAATAATAATAGCACACGTTTGTGTCGGGCTCTGTGGAACACAAAGCAGTCTTACAACCGTGATCTTGCTGGGGCTCTGAAAGGCAGGCATCTGGGAATGCGATTCTAGTCTGTCCCATTTTACTGGTGAGAACAGAGGTTCAGAGATGCGAAGCAAGGTTGTCCAGACCGAATGGTTAGTAAGTGGTGAAGTAGGAACTTCAAACTCCAATTTCCTGATTTGGTGATCAGGAATCATCCTGCTGCTCTCCCCAAAGGTGCCAGCTTTTGTGTGACACATCTGTTCTCATCTCTTACCTTATTTTATCATTTAAGGCATGCAGACCAGGGGTGGTGGGAATCCCAGGTATTAATTCTGTAATCTTGGGCAAATTAAATTAACTTCTTTAGATCTCAGATTCTTTGTCAGAAAGAAACGTATAATACTGCCTGCTAAGCAGATGAGCAGAACGCTTGTAAGAATTAGGTAAGGTCATGGTTGGAAAGGCTGTGGGTAGGGGCTCAGAAAATGAATTTGCTCTCTTTCTCTGCAAGATAAGAACAAATTTTCTCATTTGACACATGATGAACTTACTGTCCTTTTTGCTTAAGTGACTTTCCCCACTCAGCACGCCAGTTTCAGGGCAGTGACTGAAATCCACATCCTTCTCTTTCTAATCTGCTCATCATGATTTTTAGTCGGATTTTAATGTCTTTAAAAATGTGCGCCATCATTTTCCGGCTCTTTTTCTATTCTTTATAAAATTCATTTGCTTACGTACCCAAAGATGGAATAAAATACTTGTCTTTGATCTGAACTTAAGTCTTTGAGCTCTCTGAGTCGGGGAGACCGCAGGTGTGGAGAAAGCAGGCTTTGGCAGCAGGAAGCTGTGCTGAGTTTTCTGGCGGCAGCGGTGACTAGCAGTGTGAATTCAGGCCAATCTTCCGACTCTTCTCAGCTTAGGTCAGAGATAAATGTTATTTCAATCCAAACATCCTGAAAGGAAACCTGATGTACATGGTGTTTATAGGAGAGAAGAAAAAGGTTTTAAGACAGTAGACTTAGTTTTACCCCAGGCTAGGTGCTGTGAACACACTGCTCAAAAAATACTAAACTATATTCAGTATCTTGTAGTAATCTTTAATGACAAAGAATATGGAAACAAATATATGTGTATATATATATATATGCATGACTGGGGCATTATGCTGTACATCAGAAATTGACACATTGTAACTGACTATACTTCGATTAAAGAAAAGATAAACACAATCAAAGAAAATAATTCTCACTTAACTCATAAGGTGACATTTTCCCTGTTTGACAGATGAGGGAATGGAGATAAAAAGACTTATCAAAGAGTTATAAAATTTATATTGGAGTGAGTTCTTCTTCACGGTTTGAGGGAATTGATTTTCCAGTTTGTTGAATAATTAAGTAGTTAAATGGGAGAAGGTGGGTGGGGTCTCTTTGGATGCCTCCAATTTACAAAATAGAAAGTTCTGTAAACTTTATGCTCAATGGTTCCTATAGGAACCATTATAGACATGGTTTTTGTAACATCAGAAAGATACAATTTCTGTTTCTAATTGAACCAGCAAGGTTGGCATCTCTTAACTTAGGAAAACTTTACTTCATGAAAACATTTCAAGGGTCTCGTCTAATGCAGCCTCAGCCTATGGGCCCAAGTGTTTTTAGGTGGGTGGATGAAGGCACAGAAAGTTGAAACGACTTAGCCAGAAATGAACAAGATTTTGTATCCATGTCAATGGTCTTTTTTTCCCCCTCTTCTTCTGCTTTCCATCTTCTCCCCCTACCCTTATCCATTCATATATTTAATTTGCTAAGTTTTAAGTTTAAAAAAAAAAAAGTCCTGTATTTTCACTGCTTTCCAGGGTCTTGGCGTGTATTGAGGGGACAGCCAGGTGCGACAGCATTACAGTGGGATGAGATGGCAGGAGACAGCGGCTATGCCAGCTGTGAGTGCCAGGTTTAATGCTGGCTCAAAGGGGGGCTCTCAATTCTGCTTAGAGGATGACTCGGGGGGCCCCACAGTTGAGGAGTCCCCCTGTGCAGAATTACATTTTCAGATGCTTTTAATTGTAAATGATAGGAAACCTATATAAATGATTTCATCTCAAAGGGGCTTTTATTGTCAAGGCACCAGGGTGTCACATCATTAGCAAGAACAGTTCCCCTGGCTGGGCCCAGGGAAAACTGGGATCTGTCTGTCTGAACATTAATAAGGTGTCTCTTCACCTCTAACCTCTGCTTTGCTCTTGCTGCAGACTGGTGGTTTCTTTGGTAAGAAGTATTGTCACTGACTCTTCCAAAGCTTTACGTCTTACAGCTTTAGACGCTGGCAAGAAGCTGCTTTGATGAACTGTCCACATTCCAAAGTTTTGAGGCCAGCATTTTCAGGGAAGGAATTCATTGGTTTATTTCTAGGCCATTTAGATGTGTCTGTAGGACCCAGTTACTTAAAATACGCAGCTTCCGCAGACCCTGTATCAGAAGACCTGCACGAGGCGGCTCTCAGAAGAGGGGAAGTAGGATCAGGCTACTGATTCTATAGAATTTTTTTTTAATTTAGATAACATTTTAACCTATATTTTCATGTATATATTTAAGGTTAAAAATAAAACTAATTCCAAAAAAATCTTTAAAAAATTTAAAAAAGAAAAATTTAAAGTAAGATCTCTGCTGTTCAAATCTCAACTTAAGTATCACAGTCAGCTTGCTACTTTGTGTATTTTGGAAGAGAAGATGTAAAAGTGGTTCTCAAAGTATGGTATGTGGGACACTAGGGTCTTGAGCACCCCACTCCTTTTTTAAACGTTTTTTTAATTGTTGAGTCCTTTTTAGAAGGTCCATGAGGTCAAAACTACTTTCTTCATGATCCTAAAACATTTTTTGCCTTTTTTTCTCCCCAACTATGTTGACATTTGTACTGATGCTACAAAGCAATGTAATGTTACAAACGTAACAAAACAAAATTTCAGGCCCCTTAGCACCAATCCATAGCAAACTGTAAGATCATCATCACATTCTTTACTACCTTGCACTCACAGCTAAAAAGGCCAGTTTAATTTAGAATGTCCTTGAAATGAACAGTAAAACAATTAATTTCATTAAATGTTAACCTTGTTTGCATGCCTTTTAATATCTCTGTGTCAAATTAGTTCTGCCATAAAGTTATTTGGCTGCATACTGTAGTAAAATGCCCGCCTTGGGGAAAAAGTAGTTGCACGATTGTTTGAGTTGCGAGCTGAACTAGCTGCCTTTTTTCAAGAAACAATACTCTTTTCTTAGAAGAATAATGTACGAAAATCTATGTTCAGACTTGGGTGTTTAGAAGACATATTAATGAATGAAGTAGCTCTTTTACTTCAAGGGAAACTAACAGTATTTGCTGCCAGTGATAAAATTTGAACTTTCAAATAAAAATCAGAATTTTAGAAAACTTGTATCTACCACTGTGAACTTTATGGTTCCAAACTAATACTTAATGACTTTTCTGATGAAACTGTGGTGATAGTAAAAAATACGACTTCTTGATATCTTAGTGTTGACATACTAACATTTGGAAGATCTATGTGGCTAAACCAATATATATATATTTTTAATAGAGGTGCTGGGGGTTGAACCCAGGACCTTGTGCACACTAACCACATGCTCTCCCACTGAGCTATACCCACCCTCTAAGCCAATACTTTTAAAATGACTCATGTATTGATACTGCAAAGACCATGAATAAAAGATCCATTCAAGTTTGACCAATAGATTTTAATGTAAAGAGTATCAAAAGGTCATTAATATGGTTCCAGATTCTACAGTGCAGCTAAGTTTTAATAAACTACTACTTACTGTTTGCTTAGATTCAAAGATAATATCCACAAAATTCTCCAAATTTTCTTTATATACTTTGGCCTAAACTACATATCCAAATAGAGCGAATATAGACAAAGACATGAAAAATCTTTTAAGCTAGAAAAGTCTTCTGTTAAGCCAGACATTAGAAAAATTTTCAGAAATATAAAGTAATGCTGCTCTTCTCATTAAGTTTTTGAAAATATAGTACTCTTTCACAAAATGTTTTACATATGTTAGCATGTCTTATTTGTAAATAAATGAATATATAGATATCCAAAATTGCTTTCATTTAAAATGGTATTAGAAGGTGGGGACTTTGGGAGGTGCTGAGGTCATAGGGGTGGCGCCCTCGTGAATGAGATTAGTGCCTTATGAAAGAGGGTCTAGAGAGAAACTTTGCTCCTTCCACCATGTGAGGACATAGTGAGAAGTTGCTAACTATAACCAGGAAGTGGCCTTCACCAGACACCAAATTTTTTGGTATCTTGATCTTGGACTTCCCAGCCTCTAGAACTGTGAAAAATAAATGTTGTTTGTAATTACTCATCTCATGGTGTTTTGTTATAGCAACTGGAGCTAAGGCAGTAAGCAGTGGTGTGGGGTGTGGGGTGTGGGGTTGGCAAAACTAAAGACAGGAAACAAATTAGGAAGTTGTGGCAATAGTTCATCAAGTGAAAGATGAGAAACTGTATTCAGGCGATGGTAGTAGGGAGGAAAAGGAAGGGGTCTGCTGTTGAGAGTTTTAGAAAACAGAATTGAAAGCAGTGTCATCTGCAGGGAGGCTGCATGAAGTAGACTTCATAGCTGCAGCCTTGTAAAAGGTGGGGGTGGGTAGGCTAGATAATATCTCTAAAATTCTTTAACCTGGATGGCCCCCTAGTAATTACTTTAAAGGAGTTGCATCTAAATTCCAGGTTCCCAAGGTTTGTTTTTTTGCAAATTTGCAGTATCAGTTAGATTTGGGTTCAGCTGTGAATAACAGGAAATGCCAAACAATAATGATTTAAACAAGAGTGGAGTTTGTCTCCTAGGCAAAAGATATTCAGGGCCAACCATTTTCCACTTCATATTGCTTTCATTCTCAGAGTCACCTCATTGTCCAAGACGGCTGCTGGAGCAATATCACATCTGCATTCCAGGCTGGCAGCAGGAGGAAGCAGCATGGGAAGAAAGGGCTCAGTTTCCAGGTGAGTCAGCTTCCTTGAGCAGCTTTCCTGCTCTCTACTTACTTTTCATTACCCAGATCTTTTCAACTTTACCACACTCAGCTGCCAGAAGGCTAGGAAATGCAGTCTTTTAGCTGGGTTCATTGCCATCTCAAATAATAACAAGGTTATTTTACAGTGAAAGAAGGTGAACATTTTTACCAGGTGACATCCAGCAATCTCTGTCACAGAGGTCTAGATGCCTACCTTCTTTTTCCAAAAATGCTGTTACTCAGAATTCTTTATCTTTTTCTTTCACCATGAGGTTTTCTGGGAATGGGAAGAAAATCTACTTTTTTTATTTGGAGGTCCCTTATCTGGCAACCCCAGATTTCCATAATACAGTCTGAGAACTAAGAGTAGGATAAATGTGTCTACACTCTACTGTAGACTAGACGGTGGCGTAGTCTGTATCACACTGTTATCTCTTAACTGCTTGCCTCATTTATTTCTGTCTTTCACTCCAGTTTTCCATATACTGTGGCAGGATCAGTTTTTCTAAAGTATATTTCACATCATGCTATTCAACTTGTCAAGAATAGTAATTCCTCATAGCCTACTGGTTGTTCACAAGTGCCTGCAAAGCATTCAAAGTCCTCTTGCAATTTTATCAAAAGCAACATTTCCTGGCATACCTCACATACTCTATGCTTGAGCCTAACCTGCTTTACAAAACCTAACTTCTGTGGTTTTGTTCAAGTTCTTTAGTTTTTAGAATTCTAGTTGTGCACCTACATGGGCCACTGAAACCTACAGAGGGTACACAGGGTTTCTCGAATTCCAGTCCCCTCTCAACACCATCCTTTGATGAGACATTATAGGACCCAACTCTGTAAATATTACATTCCATACTCCATGCTTTAAGAGCGTGTTCCTTCAATCCGCACCCAACCATCTATAATAGTCTTAGGGAAGGAAAGGTTGCTTAGAAGTGCAAAAGTCTGGGGATGTTCATCAGTGCTGCCTCTACCTCTCTGACACAGAATTCTGTATTAGGTTCCTTAACTTACTAAGTGGACAGTTTCCATATTAACATTATTATTTCTTCCTCCTTTGACCTTACTCTTAATCATCCAAATGTTTTTGCTGTGAAAGAAAACATCTCAGCATCGTCTGCACACACACCTTTCTCTTTTATCTGGCACTTACAATTAACCTTACAAACTAGTCATCAAAAGAAATAAAAAGAGGGGAGAGGGTATAGCTTAGTGGTAGAGCACATGCTTAGCATGTACAGGGTCCTCCATTTAAAAAAAAAAAGTAAATAAATAAACCTAATTACCTCCCCCACTTCAAAAAAGAAATAAAATAAAAATAAAGAAATAAAAGACTTTAGAGGATTATCAAGTGCCAGGGGCTTACTTATTAATACGGACAACTTCTTGTTCACATTGGCAAACAGAATCGCTCATTTGCTCTGGGCTCTTGTGTGCGTGTGTGGTGTGTGTGTGTGTGTGTGTGAATTCAAGCTTTATTGCTACACAGACTCCCACCTCTCCTGCCACCCCCCGCCCCCACAGCTGCTTTGCGTGAAGGAGAAGCCAGCTCCACCCAGGGAGGCCAGCCAGGAGCAGCCAGGAGCAGCCAGGAGCCAGGATAGACCTGCAGGTAGGGGTGGGGCTCCTAGGGGAAGGAGGCCTTAAAGATCCCCACCCCAGGTTTCCCTGAGCGCTGTGCAATGGGCTCTTTTGAAAGGTGCCAGGGTACTCAAGCCCTTTAAAACACCTTCATCATTTACTCTTATCAGCTGCCATTGGAACTGCGTTATGGAAACACAATGGACTAGAATGAGGAGACCTGAAATCTCTTCTTCCTCATCTTTGCCCAAGATCTACAGTGAGATGTACTATGAACTGTACAGAAAGTTGACTCAATGTCGTATTCAACTGTGTGTACTATACAATCTGTAGGACCTTGACCTCAGGCTACTTACTCCTATTCAAAGCTATATTTAGAACCTGAATTTATTTCCTCATCAGTGTGGAAAATGGCACTTAACAGAACAGGTTACTTTCTAACCTTGGTATCAATCCCTTAAGAAAATTAGGACATTCACTGTTAATTTGCACCATTTAAAAGGTTCAGATATGTTAAATAATTTACTCAATATTGTTTTCTAATTCAAGGTAAGTAAATATCTGTTCTGAGACCCCACTCTGTCTTTCTTGGTTTCAGTTTTATTGTCTGTGGAATAGATGTGCAGTAATGGTCCTCTATCACTAGTCAATTTGCAGCATGAGATGAGATGAAAGATGTCAAAAATTCTGGTGTCTGGTAGGTGCTCACTAGGGATCGGTCTTGAGAAACACAGCTCCACCCTCTGTCACTCTAGAATTTCCCCCCGGTGGCCTGTATTTCAGCTAGTCTGGTTAGTTTCCCGGTGGAGTAACACAGACCTTCATCCCTGGTGGGAGTGAGCCCTTCATGGCTTAACTCCTACTGGGTTGTGGCTGCTGTCATTGCCCATCAGTGACTATTACTTGGCATGGAAATAGTAAAAGACTCTTCCGTGAATCTCTTGACTTCTGCATACAGTCTTCCTGCTGCCCTTATCATGTTGAAACTTCTTTCTTGTCTATTGGTCCACTGAAAGGACGTACGCAGAGTAGCCAGGCCACAGTGCCAGTGTTTCCCGTTCAGGGGAATCATCATTGAGTTCCCTGGTGGACGTGTTCCCCAGGCCCAAGAACACTGCTGGGAGGGCAGGAAGCACAATTCTATTAGTGGGTCCCTGGATGGGACAGGGGCCGCACCTGCTTCGTTTCTTGATACCTGCATCTTGAGCTCTGACAGTTGTCGACGCACTACCATAAGCTGTTTTTTGATTTGATGCATGTTCCATATTCTGGAATTTGGGAAGCAAGGCGAGGGGATGTGTTACATATTATCCATTGCTTCACAAAGGCCATAAATATGAAGCCCAGCTCTCTCAGCAGGTGGGTCCACTTGGTCCCGTGAAACATTTCCAGCCAGGCTATATCCGAGGCCTCAGAGCATTCCAGAAGAAATGAGAGGAGAGATTTTATTTGCTTGGCTCACTCCAATTTCCTTTATGTCAATGGTTAAAGATAACCTCTCTGGGAAGTAACACATGCACACGTATAGGCTGTATCATTCATTCATTTGATGGATACACTATTAGCAGCATAGTAGTATTAATACTGTTAGTATGGCCACTATTATTAATCTATGTTTGGAGAGAGGGGTACATAAATTTACATATATATCTATATAGCTCTCTGTCTATCGATCTATCACAGTAAATACAATGGCAAATATATTTAATGGGGATGTCAGAACACTGAGCAGGAAGAATTAGTCCTCTTGGGGACCAGAGGAGCTGGCTAGGAAAAGGAAGACGGCTTGCCTGGAAAGTGAGTTTTAGTCACAGGAACAGCGTGCACAAAGACTCTGAGGCAGGATACAGCAAGAAACATGCAGAAAGCAGCTTAGTTCTGTTGAGACATAAGTTTTGTTGAAATTTAGGCCAAGGCTGTCAAGTCAAGCAGGGGCAACATCACATAGAGACGTAGAATTCTTTTGAGAACCTTGAAATCATTTCAAATTTAGGCAACTTACAAAGTTGTTACCCTTCCTGTACTTTAACTTCCTCATTTGCATAACAGTAATAGCAGTACCTACCTCACAGGTTTGTTGTGGGGCAGCGAAGGAGCTTTCAGTAATTGTTAGCTGTTATTAGGTGGGAGGGAGCCAGGAAGCATTTTCAGGGACAGAAAGACGTGGTCAGATTTATGACATGGGTACAGAGAATGGATCGGAGGGGGTTAGGGCCAGAAGCAGAGAGACGAGTTATTTGCTTATGTGATATTGTAAAAACCCAAGGGTTGATGGTGGCCTCAACTAGGCTAGAGTCAATGGGAAAATGAATAAAATATTTAGAAAGTGTGTGGTCAGGCCATTCAAGGTGGCTGTTCTCTTGCTCAGTGTACATCCCTGCTTGACCTGGCGCTGCTTCACTCACATGACTATCCGGTCTTCTTAATTATAAGGCTTAAGTAGTTCCGGGTAACTGAGGAGCACCCCTGGCATCAGATCCCCCCTATAAATGGTAGCCTCCTCCTCCTCGGAGTAGCGAGGCTGTCGTGTCCTGTCTGCCGCACACGGTGGGTGTCACTCCAGGACCTTGCTTCAGATGTGGGAGATCCCCCTGTCCCATAAGCCTGTGATGTCTCTGTCAGTGTCTCTGGGCTCTTTCTTCAGTCTCAAGGTTGGCAACCACAAGGCTTGCAGGCTTGCAAGGGTGCAGCCCAACAGAAGGCGCGATGTAAAGGACTAGATAGGTAATTGATTGGGAGCGGTAGATAAGGGGGAGGACTGACTCAAAGATCACAGCCAAGATTTTTTGGGTGACTTGATAAAAGTCAAGTAAGACAGGATATACAAAAGGAAGAGAAGAGACCAGAGAGTTTTAAGGAGGACATTATCATTCGTACTGAACTGGAAATGGGCCAGTAAAGGACAGAACTGTATCCAGTATGTTGCTACTAGTGATGGTAGTGGCAGAACTTTCAGGGAAGTAATCATTGTTATCTCTTCTTTATAGAAATTAAAACTGAGGCTCAGCATTGTTGTGAGAATCCATCCCTTAAGGTCACACAGCTGTGTGTGTCCAGCATCCGGTGTCGGGTGTTCATTGACTAAACTCAGTAACAGCAGCAGCAACAGCACAACTCACACCGAGTGTTTACCACGCAGCAGGCACTGCGCTAGGTCCTGGGAACCGCAGAAAAGTAATGCACGGCTCCTGCCTTCTAAGAGCTCATAGTTTTGGAAGCCATGCAAAGAGGCAATTGGAAATGTATAACAAAGCTGTGCTCAGGGGGCAGTGGACAAAAAGAGGGGTGCTTCTACTAACGATCTGCAGATTTCAGTGTGGTCAAGTTGTTTAGCTGACCCTTGGCTGGGGTGAGTTGGGGCAGAAGGGAAGACGAGAAGGAATTTCATGTGTGGGAGCAGCAGGT